ATTAATTAGGCATAACTCATTAAGACCACAGTTTGTTCTCATGGTTACTTGCTCCTAGTTTAAAACTGCTCTTCTCAAAATGTGACTTCTCTCTCTCTCTCTCTCTCTCTCTCTCTCTCTCTCTCTCTCTCTCTCTCTCTCTCTCTCTTTCATCCCTCCACATTCATAGCACGCTCCCCTGCATGCTGGTCTCTTCTCAGGCTCTGGCTCCTGAAGGCTTCTCTTCAGGCCACAAATATTCAATGAGGCTGCTTCAGCCTTCATGCAATCTCCTACTGTTTGTACTATAGAGCAGACCTGGCGAAGTTCACCTCATGGCTGGCTGGCTGTCTCTGGTCATTTTCCAAACACACACTTCCATTCACACCCTCACAAATGATATGACTTCTTCCCGACTGCCTTTTAACAAGACTGACTTCAGCCTGTTTTCTCAGCTTATTGCATACCCTTCCAAGTAAATGAGGAACCCTGCCTGGTAGCGCAGCGGATTGTGAATAGGACTTCTACCAGTTTTTCCATGGGAGAAAGATGAAGCTTTCTACTCCTTGTAAAGATTTACAGCCTTGGAAACCCCATATGTTGTCGCTATGAGTCAGAACCGACTCGGTGATACACACCCACCACCCCCATGGACAAACTGGATTCTTTGCCAGCCCCCAAATATGGTCACCCCTGTGCCTTTCTTTAGGAGCCTTGGTGATGCTGTAGGATAAGCATTGGACTGCAACAGCCAGGCAGTTCAAACCCATCAGCTGCTCTACTCCTGTAAAGATTTACAGCCTCAGTTAGAATCAGCCCGATGGCAGTGGGTTTGATTTGATTTGGTGTCCCCCCCAATCTGTCTCCCACTCTACCCACTCAAAACCCTTACATCTTTCAAAGCATGTTGTTGTTAAGTGCCGTCGAGTCAGTTCCAACTCATAGTGACCTCGTACAGGGTTTCTGAGGAGCAGCTGGTGGGTTTGAACAACTGTCCTCACTCTTAACTGATCCTACAAAGTCTGCAGACTGAGAAATTAAATGCCAAATTTTAGGTATACTGAAATCCCTTTTTCTCAGTGGAGCGTTTAGCTTTCTATAGATCCTCAGAAGGGGACCCCCAGAAGTTAAAGATGCTGTCAGTGACATGGGTTGTGAGGAGGGCAGAGGACTGGGCATTTGCACATATAAGTACATATTCTATCTTTCTTACCAGAATATAATCTCCTTGGAGTTTTATCATGGCTTCTGGCTTCCAGCCTTTTATATGGCAGATACATGTTACTGAGTATCCAGAAAACTCATCCCTTAAAAACGAAATGGAATCAGGGCAGTGATCCTTTCAAGAGATGAGGCTCCCTTCAGTATTTCACTTAATGCACATGGAAAGTTTATGGTCATTTTTTGGTATGGTTCTCATCAGGGGCTCACTCAGGGGTCTTGTTATCTATCCCCTTGGGTTGATTAGTGAGGTTTGGAGAATCCATGGAGATTGGGAAACCTGTGAGTGTCCAAGTCTAGGCCCCAGCATGGTTTTGTGAAGCTGGTCATCTTCATATAGAACAAGCTCATTATTTTTTCGTTGGTTGTCTGTTATTCCGTGTTTCCTCCTTTCTATTCCCTGGGCTCCCCAAATACAGGACCAACCAAACCTAAAATCACTGCCATCAACTCCGTTCTAATGCATGGCAACGCTGTTGGGCAGAGCAGAATTAGAATAGCCCATTTGCTACCTACCTGTACCTGTATCTGTGAAGAAAAGGAGACCAAAACTTCTTCAAGTCCAAGGTGTTCTAAAAGTCCATATACGCTAGATGATTTAGTTTGATCCCAGTTGTCTCCCTGTCCCATCCCTGCCTCCCTCAATAGGCATCAAGAACTAGTCAGAAGTAAGAGGCTCTTTTCTACCCACTCAGCCCTCAAGGAAGTTGTGTGGAAATCCAAATGCCCCAGAGAGTGACCGCTTTAGTACTAGAAGAAGATTTTTTTTCTTTTTAAATAATATTTCCTTATGTTTTTGATAAAACTTGACTTCCCCTTTTCGGTAAGTTGACTTCTGCTTTGACAGTTTGACAGAAATGATTCAGTGACATTAGTTCCATATTTCAGTATGCCTTATCATCCTCGTCCATGGCATTCTGCTTGTTCTCTTTCCTGCTCTAGCTTTCCTGCCCCCTTTATTTTCTCATCTTTGCTTTAGAATCATGGTTGACCTTTTGGTCTCAGAGTGATGGTCTTTTTATGGGGACCCATTGTTATTGTTAAGTGCCATTGATGGCCTTGGGGGACAATAGTCTTGGGTAGCCCTGCAGTCTCAACTGGTTCAGTCCATCTGAACTTTTGAAGAATTGAAGTCCTGTTCTGTGGTTTTCACCTATTCTATCAGCGTCCATCTACTGTGTCCCTGACAGAAGCAGGTCCCAGACCTTTCCTTTCCAGAAAAAGACAGCCTTGTTTATCCAACTTACATGCCCCTCAATAGTGCTTATGTACTGTGTTTCTCGGCATTTTTATCTTTCATCTAGCTCTAGAGGGCACAATGTATAGGCCATTTCATTTTTATTCAGTAAGTTGAAATCATACTTCAAATTCTCTAAATTCAAAATTTAAAGAGAATGTTAAGTATTTTAGGAATAACTTTTGAGTTAATTCTTCCTGAAATTGATGTACTGTTCCATGATTCTTTTCAGCTATTTTCTGGTCTGGGCTTCCTCTTTGAAAACAAGAGCTTTGATTGGTGTCCTTTTAAGAGACGTGAAGAAGTGGGTGATGAAGTGGGTTAATTAAGCTTTGGATTGCTAACCAAAAGGTTGGTAGGCCAAACCCAGTAGCCTCTCAGCAAGAGAACGCTCCTGTGAAGATTTAGAGTCTCAGAAACCCTGTGGAATTGTTCTCTTCTGTCCTGTAAGGTTACTGTGGCTTAGAAGTGACTCAGTAGCTGTGGGTTTTCAGAGCTGTAATGCCCAAGTCTTTTACAGTTTTACATTTTGGCAAAATGTTTATTTAAATATTATATTACATTGTTGTTGTTGTTGTTGTTGTTGAGAGTCTGTTCTAATTCATAGTGACCTTGTATAGGGTTTCCAAGGAGCAGCTGGAGAGTTTGAACTGCCAACCTAGCACTTCAAACCAAACTTGTGGTCTAGTGCATTACCCTGCAGCACTACACCAGGACTCCAGTGTTACATTACTGTTTCAATAATGTAGTATTTTTCACTTGTGCAGTATCTCATTGGCTTACTTTCAAGCATAAAGATAAACTGCATTTATATTCCATCTGGCAGAGAGAATGTCTCAGGAGCCAGTTTACTTAACTTTATGATTTGAAAAGAAGTTACCATTAGAATTAATTGCATTACATGTTCGTAGGAGCTAATTTAACATATATTTTAAGAATAATATTTTCCTCTAATTCCTTAACCTATGCTTCTTAGAATTACATTTTACTAACTTTAGGGAAGAAGCGGTAACTTGGGGGAATTACATAAAATAAGATTAAAGTTACTATTTTTCAAATTATCTGAAAAAGAACATTTTATTTGACATTGATATATATATATATAATTTATTTGATGCTGTATATATAGATATATCTCATTTATTTGATGTTGATATATATATATATCATTTATTTGATGTTGATATATATATCATTTACTTGATGTTGATATATATATCATTGATTTGATGTTGATATATATATATATATATCATTGATTCTGAAAACTTTATGTATGATGGTAGCGTTTTAGAAACTCGAGAGACAATGAAAGACTACTGTGGACATTATCATGTTTGTTTTTTTTCTGAGGTGAAGCAGTTTATTAAAATTTCAAAGTAGCATTAGCTTCCATATCCAAAATAAATATAAGAACGATGACTTGTTAAACATTTAGGTCTTCAGACATTAAAGTTCAACTGCTTATACTGAGATTCATAAAATAAAATAAAAATAATGAAATTCACTTTCTCTTTTAAATGGTAGAATGTGATGGGTTTTTTGTTTTTTACTTCTGTCAAATATTGTTAATACAAGGCACCCTTCAAAGAGTTCATGGAAATTTTTCATTTTCTTTTCGGTCCATTTTCCCACGAACTTTTTGAAGCCCTTTCATACAGCCCCATAAGCAAATTCAAGGTGTTCAGAGCTTTGTGCCATAGTTCTTGTAACGGATGACGAACAGAAGGTTAGCAAAGAAAGGGCTCATCACATTTACTACTGGCACCTGCTACGTATTCAGGACGGGGCTATAACCGCTCAGCGCATGCTCAGGTGACGTGGGCTAAATCTGTTTTCTGTGGTTGCCTCTTTTCTTCGGCTTTGAATTCTTTTTTCTCTCCTCCATTCCATTTCTGCTGTTGTTTCTGTCATCTCTGCTTCTCCTCCACACCCTGAGACATAATGTGAGGGGCGTGGTTAGTTGTTAATGTCTGTTTCTACTAATGATTCCACTTTCATGTTGTAATACAGAATTAAGAGACGGATGGCCAAACTTAGTATCTATTTAACATAAGTTAAGGTGTCTTTGCGCATCTGCATTAAAACACTAGTACCTGTTAATCACAGAGTCGGCAGTACAATTTTTTTTTCTTTCAGGCCAGAATAGAACAAATATTACATACTCCTCAGGTGGGAGGTTACAGAAAGCCAGTGGTTTCTGTCCCACACCTGTGTCTTTGAACTACCAAAGTAAGAGTGCTTTCTCATCATTTGAAAAAACCTGCTGGGGTCCCTGCTCTCTTTCAGGCTTACCCCCTTCTGACTATAATTCCAGAATGTTCCAAAAGGTTTGCTTCTATTATAGAGCTTATTACTAGTTTGCATGTTTATTTTATTTTATTTTATTTTACTGCCGGGTGACGGGGTGGTGGTGGGGAAGTCCACCTTTGAGGGAGAGCACTGTTGGTTAACCACCAATGAGGCAGAAATTGAGCTTTCACGAGATCGATCGGAATTTCTCTGGTCAGCTTTTTATTACTGTCTTGTCTTGAGCCCTGTTTTTAATGACATTTATTATCAGATTGAGATGGCGATTGAGACGCTGCAAAAGTCTGACGGTCTGTCCAGTCACAGAAGTTCTCTCCTGAACAGCCATGTAAGTTGCCTCTTCTTCATGTAAACTTATTTCTTGCTCATTCTGCATGCGTTGCTTGCCTCTAAATGCTTGTTTTGTTTATTTACTTATTTATTTTGCCTCTTAACCTTCTTTTCTCAGCCCCTGCAGATCTCTGTACCATGCAATTTACTACCTGGTAAATCGAGCCCTCCAGAATACTAGGGCCTCCCACCGTTTGGGCACAGATAGACTATTCTCCAGTTAATAACATGATGCCACTGCTGTGTAAAATGTAATGAATGGGGACTTTGAAATATTTCAAAATGTGTAGTTTGACATATACGCGTGTATGTGTGTGTTTATGTTCTACTATGAAGCAAGCAATATTAATGTGCATCTCTTTGTCTGAGACAAGTAGTCATGGCTGCTTGTACGAACCATAATGAGAAGTAGGGAAAAAAAGATTCGTACGTAATGCCAAAACCCACAGTAAATTGTTTGAAAGTGATTTCTTTCCCAGTAAGAGACTATAGACTATAGGAGGTGGGAAGGTGAGTTCCTAAATGAGCTCAGACCTAAAGAGACATGAACGTGGGGCCAGAAGAAGAGAGGAGCCCATCAATAAGCCAGCAGTTGCTAACGATCGAGGGAAAGTTGGATTGCCGTGACTGTATGGTGACTGTAGGTTGTTGCTCTTTTATTCATCTGTCATGAGTGCGGAATCGCTAGGACTCTGGTAAGTGTCAGCAGAGCGAGGACAGTTTGGGGGAGCCCTAAACATTTTCATCAACTGCTCAAATTTGAGGGACCAGTGGCAATGCTGATTTAAGATGATTTAGTCAAGGTGCCTTTGGAACATACGGAGAAGAGACCGTAAACCTCTGACCTTGATCTCTGGTAGATTTCTTTTAGAGAGATTGCTAAATTCAAAGGCATTTTAGCAAGAATAAAGAGGTTGTTTTTTTGTGTTTTTTTTTTTTACCTCCCAACTGGCAGTACTTCCTAAATTTAGGAGTGAGATTTCAATGTGTCCATTCTCCCCCATGTTGCATGATGCAAAAAGTGCAAAATTGGCAGCGCACCAAATGCAGCGCCATTATGTTTCTATTAAACCTAAAACCTTCGGCTCATAGAAATTACAGGTAAAGTTATGATTTATATACTTTTACAAAACTCCACATTTCCAACAAGTGAGTGTCGCCTAAAAATAGACATTTGGGAGAGAGCCAAATAATAGTGAAATTGCATCAAATCACTGAGGTTAGAGATCAAAAAGTATTAGTATGCTTTCTAGATAGTTAATTTTTAAATGTTTAACTTTAGTATTCCAAAATAATGCTACATTACTTCTTATACGTTTCTTTCTTTCTTTTTTTTTTTTTAAAGTTTTTATTGTGAATTGAGTGAAAGTCTGCTGGACAGATCATCAGTTTTACATTCAACAAATCATATACTTGGTTTCATTACAATGATTATAATCCCCTCCATGTACCATCAGTTAACAGATACATTTCTTTATACATTTTTTATCCGAGATGTTTTGTTCCTTTTCTAAGGGGAAGTTTCATGGCAAATAAAAATAGGTTTGCCCCCTTGGTGAACATCTGTAATTTTGATGAAATGTCTATACCTTTTGCAGTAATATTATGTATATATATTTTGGCCATTCTTCTTGAAGCTGTTGAAGACACTTGACCCCTCACCTCCGTCCCTGTTTCTGGAGGATTGTATTCAGCATGTCATTCTTTTTATATTTTCATGAGTTTACATCTTTTATGTTGGTGTGAGCCTGCGCTTATGTATAAAGGCTGATTTGCTATGTGGAAAGGAGCATTAGGCTTCGAACCAAAAGGCTGGCCATTCGAACCCAGCAGCCATTCTGCCAAACAAAGATGCGGCAGCCTCGGAAACCGGGTAGGCCAATTCTATTCTGACCCATAGGATTGATATGAGCCAGAATCGACTCAACCACAGTGGTTTGGGGTCTTTGGGGTTTTGGATTAGTAAGTAGGGAGTGGTAACAAATTGGGGCTTGTGGTTTGAAAGTGGCAAGTGAAAATGTTCTTTACTTTCAGTCAAAAATGTTCAGGGACATAAGAAAAGAAGATAATAACATTTCCAGTCACCCTTGAGGAACTTTCAGACTTCTAAGAAGTTGTACTTTGACCTTCAGTGTTTTCATTGTGGTTTTGTTTGTTTGAAGACTAGAGTTTAGTAAAATGTATGTACATCATTTTAACCGGAATTACCTTTCTTAATTACTATTTCCATGAGCAGAACTGTAGGTGTAAGAACATATTTTCTTGGTGTATTTTTGTTGATTTGTTGAAAACTTTTTCAAATTTGTTGTGTTTTTTTTGTTTGTTTGGTTTTGTTTTTCATTTCTTTTCTTGCGGAATTCATGAAGCAACAGTTACTTTTCAGGAGTGTGTGAAGCAAGTGGCCTGAATAACAGACAGATGTATCCTACTCCAGTGGCATGAGGGTGTTCACCACATAGCAGAGAAATCTTCCCTTGTGTTTACAGCTGTCAGAGGCTGGTCAGTACATGGGAAGAGGGCTTACTCGTGTGGACAACGTCATGATGATCTTTCTCTAGGTATCCTGATTCATTTCTATGACACCTCTGAAATACGCTGAGCTCATTCAAAAGGACTGTAGAGTTCAGAATTTAGAGATACGAATGATTCTACGAATCCGATGCAAGAGGTGAATAAAAGACCCACCCCACAGAACATGGGTCCTCTCAGATCCCACTGACCCTTCATCTCCCTGAACATGTAGGAGCCCATGGTCTTTTTGTCCTTGGAAAGTTAGCGATTCTCCTAATGTTTATTTGATTAATCCAAGCCACTGGAGTAAGCCACTTCCCACATTCTAGTGGACAACCAGCTGTGAAAGGTATTTTCAAGTCTGTGAATCTAATTGGTGATTTTCAGTTTATGTAAACAACTTTGGAATAGAGAGCTTCTATTAAAAAATATATATACTGTTAATATTTTAAATGTCAACAAACTCTGTTACCTTTACTCCTCACTGAGATACAAGAGAAGGAGCTTTTGTGGCACCACGGTTAAGCACTTGGCTGCTAATGGACAGGTTGGCAGTTTGAATCCACTATCCACCCTGTAAAAGAAATGTGGCATATTTCTTAAGCTGACAGTCTAGCAAACCAACAGTAGGAGACTGTGCTCGTCTGTCATACAGACTTACTGCTTCTCAAAATTAACTCAAATGGTTGTCATCCAATTGATTGTGACCATGTGGCACTGTGGGGTAAAGCTCCGGACTACTAAGTTGGTTTCAACCACAAGGTGAATGGTTCAAACTCACCAGTCACTCCTTCGAAACCCTAATCAGAGTCGCTACGAGTCAGAACCAACTCGACAGCACTTGACAACAACAACAACAAATGGCTACCCCGTGTGGGCACATGTCAAAGACCATCACTCTTACTCTAGGAGCTCTGGTAGCGTAGTGGTTATGAATCGTACTGTGAGCCGCAAGGTCAGCAGTTCGAAACTACCAGCTGCTCCTCAGGAGAAAGATGAGGCTTTTTGCTCCTGTAAAGATTTACAGCCTTGGAAACCCTGTACAGGG